CCTATTTTAGCCACACTCCAGTCACTTATTCACAAACTAATGTTGCAGATTCCCACTTTTAAGAAAAACCAGGGCAGTGCCCTTTACTGGATTTCATGATCCATGAAGCCTGATGAACAGTTACAGGTTTGTATTAGTCTACCTAAAATTCTAAAATATTTAGACGCAATGAGGTAGCCCATTTCTGATATTCACAGAGCACTTGTGGGCACTGGCCGTTTTATGAATCATTTTGAGATGAAAAAAAAAAGAAGAAGCTGTACTATTTGGATTATTTTTTTCCTCTCTCTCCACCTTGAGACATTCTTTCACACTTCCCTGATGTATGCCTCAACCATCTTAGTGTTTTTCCTCATCCTTACAGAAGAGTATGAAATACAAAGCATCTGTAAATGCTGTACCGCGCACTGATGGGCCACTTCTTGAAGGACCTCTTACCGCTTCTGAAGCATAATTAGATCAATGATAGGTAACAGTATTGCATAGATCTTGCCGAGTTGGGAGTCAGTTTTTTGGTGTGCTGTGATTCTTTGAGACTGTTTTTTCCTCCAAAGTTTTTGCTGTGCTGTGCCAATTTTTTATAACAAAGCTTAAAAATGCTAAAGAAAAGAAAAAAGAATGAACATTTTTTTACATACACACACACGAAGTTCTTGCTATCCCAGGTAAGTGACATGCCTGAGAGTGACTTCTCCGCATATGGTAGAGTATGGTATATACACACACGTATATGCACATACCCATCACATATGTGTGCTGTGGCCAATGTTAAACATGCATATATGCAACATGAGCCCAATTTGCCATGTTGATTGTTCACTGTTGCTAGAATAATTAGCTCCTTCCTAATTCTTTGTGGTAGAATCAGTTTCATTTAAAAGAACTATAAGGAAAGAGACTATTTCAGAATAAAAAATGGAATTTGCATGATTTGTGTTGAACACTAACCTGATTAAATATTTACTATGAATTCATTATTGTATGTTAGCTAAAACCCAGGTAATTTCTGTTTGAAAAATAGTGACATGATAAATATAACTTTTCAGAAGTGTTTTCTGACATAGACCTCTCAGAGTTAAACAAGAACGTCATCATCTAACTTCTGAATCTAAACATGCTTATTTGGGGGAGTTATTTCATTAATAAAGTTTTGTATTATGTAATTTGCCATTATTCCTTCTCAGCTTTGTTAAATTTAATCATGTTTATGACATATTGTCGGCTTTGCTAGGCTGTTAATAATAAATCACACAACCCAAACGTCTCTAGCATATCCAAAACCAGCAATAAGCTGAAGATACTCAAGATGGGCTTAGTCAGTATGATGTCTCCCCCTGATTTCTTGTAGGGGAAGATACGCTGTGTCTGGGTGAGTCATGAGTCCTTATCTTCCTCTTCATGGTATTAGTTCAGCGATTTAGGGTAAAGAAATTAAACTTGGCTTAGGACTTGGGGACCTTTGTGCTTTACTGAATAATTATGGTAGTTACATGAAGCTGTGTATATTTACAAGCCATAATGTTTATATTCCAGTTCTCTTCTTTATTTTTCCCTGCAATGATAAAATGGTTGCTCTTGCTACCAAAAAGTAAGATAATTCTACCTAGAATATCAATAAATAGTCTTTGTATAATGTTTGAAATTAATACAATCTGATTAACTTTTTCTAAAGCTATTAGATCAAGGGCTGGTCAATGGGAGATAGATGTGAAGGGAGTGGGTAGAAGTGGATGGGTATCCTGGTGGATGGTGGAGCAGGGAAATAAGTGGGTAAAGATACGTGTGCCAAAGGTAGGGACAACACGAACACTAATTTTTAACTCCACAATAAGGGATATACCTTTAACTTGCTGGTCTGTCTGATACTTCTCTAAATCTGAACATTCACATTAAGATAGACTAGGAAGAAGGATTGGCCATCCACTTCTGAAATAGCAGGCTTCTGAAAACCCTATGTACAACAGAACACAGATAGATAACAGAAAGGGCAACTGAGGTTGAGCTTTCAAGTATGGAAATACAAAGGAGGAGGAACATTTGTAAGCAGACACTAGTGATTGGGACATGGAATGTGAGAACCATGAATGTAGGAAAATTAGATATTGTTAAGTAAGAAATAGAACGCATAAATATTGACATACTAGGCATCAGTGAGATGAGATGGACTGGCATGGGGCATTTTGAGTCGGATGATCATATGATATATTACTCTGGAGGTGAAAAGGTGAGGAAAAATGGAGTTGCTTTCATAGATAAAAAAAGTCATTGCTAGATCCATCTTGAAGTACAATATTGAATACCACTATCATTCAGATATATGCACCAACAACCAGAGCCAAGGAAGAAGATATAGAAGATTTTTACCAACTTTTACAATCGGAGATTGATCGAACGTGCAATCAAGATGCATTGATAATAATGGGTGACTGGAATGCAAAAGTTGGGAACAGAGAAGAAGAATCAGTAGTCAGAAAACATGGGCTTGGCGACAGAAATGCAGCTGGAGAGAGAATGATCGAATTTTACACAATCAATGACTTATTCATAGCAAATACATTTTTTAAGAGACATAAACGCAGGTTATATACATGGATTTCACCAGATGGTATGCATAGGAATCAGATCGATTACATCTGTGGAAAGAACCACTGAAGAAGCTCAATATCAGCTGTGAAAACTAGGCCAGGAGCTGTTTGTGGAACAGACCACCAACTACTCATGTGCAAGTTTAAACTGAAGCTGAGGAAAATGAAACCAAATCCAAAGCAATCAAAATATGACTTTGAGTCTATCCCACCGGAATTTGAGAACCATCTCAGGAACAGGTTTGAGGCCTTGAACACTAATGAGCGAAG